TCGAGAATATTTCTTGCGATAAATTTTAGGTCGTTTTCTTATGTGTTTCTGTTTTTTTTTGATTGGAAGATGTTTTTGATCCATTCATATGAAGGAGGTCAATCAACTACAACACGGAGGAGAGAAAAAAAATACGAAATTTCTCTATTCCGAATTCCATTTCTCTTCTTTTTTTTTCATTTACTTTACTTTCATCGATCATATTTAGAATATTACCATCATTAAACATGTATCGTTTTGCAAACGCATTTTCACGTACAACATCACCATTAATTCGACATGTTGTACGACGTTCATTAGCTAAAGAAATTAAATTCGGTGCCGATGCTCGAGTACTTATGTTACAAGGTGTTGACATTCTTGCCGATGCTGTTGCTGTTACAATGGGCCCTAAAGTTTGTTTGACATTTTTTAAAATTTTAAAGATAAATTTTTTATTTTTTTTTTTCTGTAGGGACGTAATGTCATTCTTGAACAAAGTTGGGGTGCACCAAAAATTACAAAAGATGGTGTAACAGTTGCTAAAGGAATTGAACTTAAAGATAAATTTCAAAATATTGGTGCTAAACTTGTTCAAGATGTTGCAAATAATACAAATGAAGAAGCTGGTATGAATAATTAAATAAAATTTTAATTTACAAAAAAAAAAACAAAAATTTTTTCTTCGTATCTAGGTGATGGTACAACAGCTGCAACTATTCTTGCTCGTGCTATTGCTAAAGAAGGCTTCGATAAAATATCTCGTGGTGCTAATCCAATTGAAGTTCGTCGTGGTATTATGCTTGCTGTATCAATTGTTATTCAAGAACTTAAACGAATGTCAAAAACCGTAACAACACCTGAAGAAATTGCACAAGTTGCAACAATATCAGCTAACGGTGATGTATCCATTGGGGATATTATATCGAATGCTATGAAAAAAGTTGGTAAAGATGGTGTTATTACTGTTAAAGTAAGATTGATGATTTTTTTTTTAATAAGTGAGAAAAAAACAATATCTGAAACCCTTTTTTTTTGTTTTTGTAGGATGGTAAAACACTTATGGATGAACTTGAAATAATTGAAGGCATGAAATTTGATCGTGGTTACATTTCACCTTATTTTATTAACACAACAAAAGGTGCTAAATGTGAATTTCAAGATGCTTTTCTTTTATTGAGTGAAAAGAAAATTTCTTCGGTACAAGAATTAATTCCAGCCTTAGAGTTAGCTAATAGCCAACGTAAACCATTACTTATTATTGCTGAAGATATTGATGGTGAAGCACTTACAACACTTGTTATTAACAGGTATGTTAGAAAAGATTTTCTACGTTTTGATTGAAGCATCAGATTGTTAAGTTGATCGAGAAAAGTTAAGTTTTAGAATTTCGTTTCGATGTAAAGGATGAAACGATATCCTTTGTAGTTATACATAAATGAGCTTTTGCCAAAAATGAAAAACTTTCAATTTAAACGAGAAAGGTTTTTTCTTGACGGCTACCACAAGTGAAGTCTTCAATGACGTCTTGCATACTACTATGAGAATGAATACTATTTTGTTTTATACACTTCTGTTGTCATAAGTGACTTTGACTAAAGAGTATATCTTAGGGAGATAAGAATGGTTTTGCCTCTCGGCCATAATAGACAATAAGTCTATTTTTAGGCACTACTAGAGATCTCATTAGAGGCCTTCTTGTATAGATCAGGAATAAAAACGTGCACGGCTAAAACTAGGAACCTTATCAATATCTACTCTACAGAAAGAATAAGTTGTGAAGGCCAAGATCGCGACTACGAGAAAAAAGTTGTTCTAATCGAAAGTAAAGATTGTAATTACATACTCTTATTTCAAGAGAGATGACCCAAAAAAGTTCTAGTCGTCGACTAAATATATCAAAAACGAATATTGAATATTTTCTTAAAGATATGGTAATAATAAAGCATAGAATAGTTGCTTCTAGACCGAAATCCTAAAAACTTGGTTCTGCACATCTTTAATTGGGTTTTATCTCGCTCCAAAAATAGTTATAGGAAAAATTCGAAATCGTACAGACAATTTTAATTATATCTTGTTTTTTTTAGACTAAAAGTTGGTCTTCAAGTTTGTGCTATTAAAGCACCAGGTTTCGGTGATAATCGTAAAAATACATTACGCGATATAGCTATTGCTTGCGGTGGTACCGTATTTGGTGATGAAGCCAATTTAAGTAAACTCGATGAGGTAACTGTTCAAGATTTTGGTCGTATTGGTGAAGTTATTGTAACAAAAGATGATACATTATTAATGCGTGGTAAAGGTGAACCATCAGCCATTGAACAACGTGTCAATGCACTTAAAGATGAAATTGCTGAAACAAATTCTGAATATGAAAAAGAAAAATTACAAGAACGTTTAGCTAAATTATCAAATGGTATTGCTGTTTTGAAAGTTGGTGGTAGTAGTGAAGTTGAAGTTAATGAAAAAAAAGATCGTATTACAGATGCATTAAATGCAACACGTGCAGCTGTTGAAGAAGGTATTGTACCTGGTGGTGGTGTTGCTCTTTTACGTTGTCTTAATGTATTGGATAAAGATGCTGGTGCAATAAATGCTGATCAAAAAATTGGTAAAAGATATTCATAAAATTAATATTTTATAATTTTATGTTCCTATGAATTCATTTAGGTATGGAAATAGTTCGAAAAGCACTTCGTATGCCATGTGCAACAATTGCTAAGAATGCTGGTAAAGATGGTAGTATTATTGTAGAAAAAGTACTTATGTCACCATTTGAAATTGGTTATGATGCACAACGTGATGAATTTGTTGATATGGTTAAAGCTGGTATTATTGATCCAACTAAAGTATGAAAGAAAACAAAATATTTTTATTTTGACTAAAATAAATATATGTATTGTTTTTTTTTCCTTGTAGGTTGTTCGATCAGCCTTACAAGATGCTAGTGGTGTTGCTTCGTTATTAACAACAGCTGAAGCTGTTGTTGTTGATGCACCTAAACCCGAAAAAGATGTTGCTGCAGCTGGCATGGGTGGCAGTATGTTTTTTTAAATATTGAAAATTCATATATTCATCATTGGTGTTTTTTTTTCATTTTAGTGGGTGGCGGCATGGGTGGAATGGGTGGTATGGGCTTTTAAAAGTGCCAATAAATGTTTTAGAACAATTATGTTATGTGTGTTTTCTTTTGTTTTTGTTTGTTTTGTTTTTCTATGTCGGCTGTTATGCATCTTCTAGGAAATATAAAATAAAACGATTCATACTAGTAATCGTGATCTAGTTGAAACAGCAATGAGACAATTAATTCGAAGTGATTGCATATAAGTAATTGATTTAAATTTATCAATCTAGAGTATATTCTATCATCAACATACGGTTTACCTATCAATATAATGTAAATGCAATAAGAATTTTATCTGAATGTTATATGAAGTCTATGAATTAAATCTTGAATAAAATACTTAGAGTTGACCAAAAGTTAGCTATGCGTTGGTTCCCTGTATTTTAGAAGATCGAAACTCACATAAGTGCAGTTTCATTCGCAGAACCCACAGAATTTTTGGAAGAGTGTAAATGTTGATGTGAGTTTCGATTCTCATGCACTCACTTTCATATTTGAATATCCACGGAAAAGATTATACCGCATGCTGTTTATCTCTCACAGCATTTCATGTATTCCGAATTTTCGAGCATAAGACAAAATAGTTATTTAGAATTTGTGGGTAAACAAAGTTCTTATCTAAATGTGAACAATTTGAAACTATTCTGTTTCCTCAAGTTATCATTTAACAATGTAAAGTTTTTCTTGACCATTGAATCAGCAACATATTTTGTAAATTAAATAACGCATACGTCGAAAATGAACTGAGCAAAAACTTTTCTAACTTAGTTTTTTTAACAACAAAATGATTGAGAATCTTTATGCCGAGATATATGAATAGTAAAAGAGTAGATGCTTACTGTTCAAATAAAAATTTTATGGAAAAATACAAAATGTTGATAAAACCTTTTGACTGTTTTTTTTAATACAGTAATTCTATAAATATTTAACTATTTTTCTGGGAAAAGCGTTTTTTTTATCGACTTTTGATATGCTAGGTGAGATGGGAAGTGGTCAGAAAATAATCTTGACTGAATAAATTTGTTAATTTTCGTCTAAAATATTAGAGACTTGGAGTGTTTTCTGGAAAGATCTTGGAAATAAGTGCAAGATTCTGCAGTTCTTAATAGATAATAGGATAACGCAAAGTTTCTGGATTTAATTCTTTCGTCAAGGACAGGCTATCGTGAGGACGTAGCGATTTTATATAAAGTTTGATCAAAGTTATTCGAAGTGGAGGTAACTTGACCGAGAAATAAAGTACACAGTGTCAAACATCTAATTACCGATTCGAATTCCTCGAATTTCAGAAAATTTGGTCAAACTTTATAAAAAAAACCGTTAGTTTCGCTAAATAGTCTTTTCTAGACGAAAGAATCAAACCTAGCAACTTCGCGCTATTCCGTTACCCAGTAACTGGTAAAGTAACTGTCTCTCTGTAATAGTAATTTTCCATCCGTAACTAATTCTAATAATTCGAAATGATGCATCTCTAATTAGCATTTTGTGTTTTTCTTTGGATTTTTTGTGAGAGACAATCTAAAAGGAGAGTCCAAGTGTACAGGATAGAAACTTTTACTTTCCCACCCTTCTGCAAAGATCATGACAGACACTGTGTTATTATTCCCTCTGTACAGATCGTGGCCGACTGTGTTAATATATTATGAAAGACCGTATATAAATAAGATCTTGTTCTAATATATGCACTACTTCCTAATTGTACCTGTGAAAGATTCAGATGCCATATAAACAAATAACCGCAATACAAAGATCAACTGTTTCATAAGATTCATCTTGGTTTTCTACTCGTGTCAATAACAATCTTAAAAATTCTTGTTTAATCATGATTTTGTTTTCATTTTGCTTATTTAAATTAGTTCTAGAAATAAAAACGCATCAAAATTGGTGTTACGACAGTTTATTCTGGATAAGTATGAAATACATCAAAGACAATATCAGAACCATCTCGTTTCAAACCACCATATAGACTGATGATGATAGAAAGTAGAATAATAGAAATTGAATTCAGTTCTATTTCTTCGCCAAGAAAAAATCCTTTAAAACTGCTTGGATTAACAGGTAATAAGTGATGATTGGAGAAAGCAATTTTCACTAATAGTCGATCAATAGCAAATTCATTATTTTCATTATCAAGTATTGACAAAAATTGAAGCATTGCACAAGATGATTGATTTAACCACTTGATATTTTCAAATTCCTGAGGTTTTCCTTCGATGAGATGACAAAGAGCTGATATTGTTTGAATATCATGTTGATAAAATTGAGACAATAGTTTAATAATCCATAATGAAACAATATCATGTCGAAATTTTCTTAATGAAATTATAATTTGATCGAATAGAAATGGACAAACAATTGACCATTTATGTTGACCAGCTGCAATTATTAAACGATCCAAAGCATTAAATAAAACATCATGAGAAGGATAATTTACAAGATCATTACCACACTTAATTAACATATATGCACCAAGTGGTAAAAGAGAATCATATTCATCTTGTTATTTTATAAATTCATAGCAAAAATTATCAAAATTTTTTTGACACCATGAAGAACTAATCTTGCCTAGAGCAAATGCAATAGGTACTTGAAAATGTGGATCATTTGTACGATATCGTACAGATTGAGAAATGAATTGAATTTTGTTTTGTAAACTAGATGTATAAGTTTGTTCTTTCTCTTGTTTCGTTGTTTCTATGTTGATGAGTTTTAAACAAGTAAAATATTCTTGAAATGTTAAATGAAGAAAACCATAGAGTGATTCACCTCGAGCAGCTAAAATACCAACATCTTCACGAATAATTTGTACGAACTCGCATGCTTGATGTTCAATATCTCGGATATGATCTTTAGTGTTAAAGTTTTTACTTAATGACTCTTTAATAGATTCAGTGCAAATTTCTTTCATTTTTTTCTTCATGAATAAGACCTGATGAAGAATTTCCATGAATATAACTTGCAATATTACGAAAAATTTGAATTAATTCTCGTATTGAAATGCTCGATCTTTTCGTACTCCACAAACTTAACATAGAATTAATATTTCCTTCATCTAGTAGAATACGTTGAGTTGGTAATGATGAATCTTCTAATTGACTGAAAGCTACACTACAAATAAATGACATTAAACAAGAATTGGAAGCTACATCAAGAAGACCAATATATTCCGTTTTTTCCTAATTCTTTCTTAAGTGCCTCGCCATGATTCTCTCCTTGATTAATTAATGAAAGATTCAATGTGTCAAGTATACGTTGATGAACACGAAAAAACCAATAGTCGACAAAATCCTTCATATGTTCCATATCCATAGGTCGAATTGTATAATGAGCAAATTGACCAGCTAATGGAGCAACATGATAACCAACAATACGACTAGTGACAATTAATTGATTACCACCTGATTTAGATGGATCATCAAATAGTCTACTCAAATATTGATCATCGAATGCAGAAGTACCCATAGATGTTTGAACATAAGTATCGACAAAATTTTCAACAAGATTAATAATTTTTGAATGTTGATCAGAAACAGGAAGTTCATCAAAACCATCAAGTATGATTTAGAGCTTGACCTTGTTTAATATAATCTTGAAGAGCACATGATAAATTATCCAGAGATATTGATGAATCATCAAAAATAGAGTTACCCATCTATTTATGTTTTCCAATATAATCAAATAGAGTAAGTGATGATTGTTCTTTCAATATTTCAGCAAATTCACCCATACGAATTAGAATTGGTATACGAAGAGGTTCATAATCAGTTGAATGTTATCCATTAAGAAGAAGTGTTTGAGCAAGATGACCAACAAGCCATCGAGCAAAACTTGTTTTTCCACTTCCTGGATCACCCAAAATAACAATCCAACGTTTCGTTCGAATAATATTTTCTTCAGTAACATCCTCTTTTTCCGAATAGCGATCTCTTTCAACCATCGACATCATATAAGGAGTTGAGACTAATCTTTGTCATATGCCTTCCTATGTTTTTGTTCTATCATGATCATTTTGAAGTAAGTGATTCTCTGATCCTATGAGTAATCGTCGTGATTCATTTCTTTTGAATGATGTAGATTTATCAGGTTTGAATTGAATAAATGTACGAGTGAGAGGAAGATCACATGATTTCCATTTATATTTTAATTGATGTTTATCTTCGGGAAAGATTTTATAGAAATTCTGAGCAATTTTAGCAACAATATCACCAGTTATACCAGTCAGAGGTACATTTTTATGTAGTTCAGTACAATAGTGAAGATAAACTTTGATCGTATGAAAATGTTTTTCACGTAGTAGATGAAGTTGTTCTATAGTGTTTTCTTCAGTTTCTCTTTTCGATTGTATATAATCTTTGTCTTATTTTTTCATCAAAAACTTTTTGAACAAGAATTTGTTGATCATGATAAACATTACTTAGTATTTGAATTTTTCCTTCATAGTTATCTATTAAATCAACGGCATGCTGAGCGATTCGTAATTGAAGTCGAAACAATAAAGATTCAAGATCTCGGTAAGTCATTCCTTTGAGTTCAGCTTCATTTTCACTACAATCAGTGATAACTTCATCGATGGCTTTTAATGTCTGCACTAGCTCCTCAAAGACATGTTTTTAATCTTTAACGCTCGTTGTATTCAATATATGTCCAAGTTGAGATAAAGCGTTAGAAATCAGTCTCAAATGCTCTTGACATATTGTAACTTTATTTATTCTTTGAATAAGCCTGTCCAATGTCTTTAATATTGGTATAGCAGAGGTCATTTTAATTTCTCTACGTTTTACGTTAAATAAGGGAAGTGTAATTAATTTAGCTCTAGTTGAAATATTTTACCTGAAAAAAAAAACAGAAATATAATAAAACTACTTGCCGACGTTTTAATTGACAAATTTCCTAATTGTTTGTGATTTTATGTGTTACATGTACTTTGACCGACTCCACACATAGCTACACTTTTATTTCTTCTTTCCTTTTACTTTCATGAATTGCTCGTAGGTTTCAAAATCTCTTTGACGAATGAAGAATGTTACTTTAACATACTGTTAACAAAGTATTTTTTTTTGTTTACTTTTTGCTATCATGTTGGAAAAAAACAGGTTGCTTCTTTTCTTCCTATTAAAGTTGTAAAAACATAAATTAAAGTAATGCTTCACTTTAATTTAATAAGACACTAGATTGTTATTTACTTCGATTTTGGCTACCGAAAATTACTTATTCTGATGATAAAACGGATAATAATGTTTTCTTCAATATGAGACAATTAACACTCTAATTTACTAAAATCAACCTATTGATAAAATCATTGTTATCACTTTTTTTTTGAGAACGGCTACTTGAAAACAAATAAATACTGATTTCTATATGTAAGTAAACAACAAAAGGACTGTTTTGATTGAATCATAAATTTGCAAACCACACTGTAGTTGAATACTTTTTTTTTAATTAGTTCTTTATAAATAGGATGATATGAATCAAACATTGAGCGATTGATTGAAAATCAATGTAACAATTTTCGATAGTATTTGTTAAAACGATTTTTATAATAATTCATACAAATTTTCCGATTATGAGAAAGATATAAATTTTATCATAATGCATTATGTTTTTTTCTAAAAAAAATATTTTTTTGTGAAACACAATCTAAAAGAAATCGTAGGAAACAGTTCATAACAGGCATAACTAGCAACGTCTTTTCATCATCACAGACTGTAATAGTCATTGATATGCAATCAAAGACCGTATATCAATAATAACTCGTTACAATACTTCAATGAAAATTCCAATATATGTTCTAAGACTGAATCGAAGCGAATTTCACTGGTTTATGTTCGGTTCAATGCGGATTTATTTTTCAAAAAAGAATTCAAGTTCGATTTGTTTTTATTTTCTGATATGTTCAACGAAAACAAAAGCAACGGTTCACAATCATTTTATCGTTGGTAATATGTATAATTAATAAAGTTTTTCTTGTACAACTACATGAATGCATGATAATGCTCCCCATGCCTTTTTAGTTTGCTCAACATATCAAATAAACTACTTCTGCGTTCATGTTCATGTCCATGAATCTCAGGATGATTATTAATTGCCTTAGATTTTGATTCGACGGTTTTTGGTCGTGATACTTTCGGATTAATATGCATGTGATCATCATTAGTTTGAACTAGTAAAGTAATTTCATTGCTCAACGTCATAATTTCAAAAAACTTTCGTAAGGCAAGCGTTTCGATTGCTTGATTATTTATTTTTCGTATAATATCATTTTGATGAAGACCACAATGTTCAGCTGGACTATTATCCTCAATTTTAACTATGATATAGTCCAGTTTATCAAATTTTATTGTAAAACCATATCCTGGATAACCGGATGAACGAGATAAATGTACTTCACGTAACTTTACATCATCAATCGATGGTGATCTATTGTTGAATTCTCGTTCTGTTTGTTCTCTTTCAGTAATACAAACTTGAGGATGCTCGACTAATAGTCAAATAAATGAATAAATGAATAAGATAAATTCTAAACTCACCTATTCCATTTTCACAAAGTTGTTCATTATTAATTGTTGACTGAATATTTGATAGAGACTTGTCTCCTTTTGTTGCATTCATTTCATTAATTTTTTTCAATAATTCTGAATTACAAATTATATGAGATGCATCCATACTTGATGCACGTCGACGTGGAAATGATGATTGAATATTTTCTTTTAGTTCCTCATCAGTTAATCTTTCAATTTTTTGTGATTGATAATGATATCTTTCTCGGTGATGATGAGGTTGAATTGAATGTTGATCAGATATTAAAACTTTTTCATTTTTATTTGCTGGTGACAAAGAACTAGGTTTTAAATTGTCATCAAAACTTAATCCTTTATTATAACTAAATAAAAAGAAAAATAAATAAAAGTTTTTATTAAATTAAAAATGAAATAACAAATACCTTTGACAGTTTTGATCACTACTTTTACTCTGTGTTGATGAATATGGATCATTATTATTATTATCAAAATCATTAGTTGACGATTCATCAATAATGTCAAGTGTATTATTTGATGATTGAATAGAAAGTATTAAACTTTGAGCATTATGTGCTATTTTAAAAAATATTTCGTTAGAGATTTTTGACACCGGTTGTCCATTAATTGCTAAAATACGATCACCACGTCGTATATTAGCATCTGCTGCTGGTGAATTAGGTTCTATAGCAATTATCTCCATTTCATTATGACTATCTTCCTTTATAAGTATACCAAAACCATGGTCACCTGAACGTTTGTTAAGAAAAACTGTACGTGGTGCAGACGTCATTATTATATTCTTCTTGTGTGTGTTCTTTCAAGATAGTATAATATATTTGTGATAATTCAAATTATTTATCAATAAATGCATGCATGATCGATTTTCATTTATTTTGTCGCCTATTTTTCTTTCTTGTTATTTGCTATGCTCGTAAACACTCGTTCGATTTGATAAGAGTAAAATATAAGCGAATAAGAATTTAATGTACTTATTAAAATCAATGAAGCGTTACATGAGAGAAAATATATTAGAAATACTTACGTCATTAAGGAGATAAGAAAATAAACATAATATATGATTAGTAATGAGTAAAAATATGGGCATGACAAGGCACAAAATGAGTGTCTAAGTCAAGACGTAATAAATTTTTTAGAGTTTCTTAATTTTTGAGTAACTGGCGAACACACAAGACATATCTAGATGAGACAATATAGTTTTATCAATTTACCTCAAATATGTTATTAAATCGAAAATGAAAAAAAAAATATTAAATAAATTAAATAATTTGAGATTGATAGTCAATGTGAAGTCTGCTTGAAAATATTTAACGTATGGATATTTACTCCCTATAATGTTATTATTACATTTTGATACAATTATGACGCATATAAAGAAATGAACGGTTTATATCTTACAAACAATGCAATGATAGAAGTTTAAATTTGTTGGATGATAGGCATTGACTGATAAAAATGGTCATACGAATTTCAAAAACTCAAACTATCATAGTTGAGCATTGGTACTCAAACAGTTAAAACATTTCATACATTATAAGTTATATTGCGTAGCTGGTAAGTTTAAGACATTAATAATCTGTATTAAGAATAACATAGTAACTGATACATTTAGAAGAGTCATTAATCTTAATCAATATAATGAGAATCATAAAAGTTTGTTGCACTTAAAATCAGAGATAGAAATAATCTGGATTTTACACGACCAGTTCCAGCTGATCTGAAATCCCTAACGACACTGAACTACTACGTTCTCGTATCATTCTATCTTTGAATAGTAATATTTTATATAGTCAAGTTTGAAGAAAGTTTCAATATATTTTCTTTATGAGATGCTACGAGTAAAAAAAAATTAATTGGGCATACGGATATCGCTTCCATCTCTGATTTGAGTAAATAAAAAAATTTGGCAATGGGTCTATTAGTCTG